ACTTATCTATATTTATTCAAAAGAAAATGAAATATTTTTTTTGTTCCCATGTTACAGTGGGTTGTTTTTATTCTTGCTGTTTCTGTTCCAATATGACTTCTGGGATGTTCTTCTTTTCTTTTTTAAAAAATATATTTTATTATTATTTTATGTGTTTGAGTGTTTTGCCTGCATGTATGTATGTATACCTGTGTCATGAAAAGCCCACAGAGGCCAGAAGAGGGTGTCAGAACCCCTAGAACTGGAGTTACAGAGAAACTGGAATTAGAGATGGTTGTTAGACACTGTGTGGATGCTGGGAATCAAACCTGGGTCCTCTGGAAGAACAGCAAGTGTTCTTAACCTCTGAGCCATCTCTCCAGCCCCCTTTTTAAAATTTTTATTTATTTATTTATTTATTTATTATTTATTTATTTATTTTATGTGTATGAGTATTCTTTTTTTTGATGCAGTAATAAAAGCTGAATACAGACAAGTATCATATTCACTTTGATATATAAGCCTGTTCTTACCAAGCCCAGGTTAAAGTTATTTCCTCATACTAGTCCAGTGTAATTACATTAAGATAAATATCAGCCTGCAAGATGGCTTAGCAGGCACAAATGCTTGCTGCTAGGACTGATGACCTGAGTCGGATCCTCAGCACTCACAAGGAAGGAGAGAACTGACTCCACCAAATTGTCCTCTGACCTTCAAGGCATGCACACATGTGAGGGCAGACAGATAGGTGCGCACATCTGCGTGCGGGACACACACACGTAAATAGATGTAAAATAAAATTTAAGGTACATATTTCATAAAAAGCATCTTTGTGTATGGACTACATAAATTTGACACACTAAAAGCAACAAGTTTTTTTTTCCTATTTAGTTTTTATTCATAAACATAAACTTAACTCTGCAATCCAGCTAGACTTGGAGGGGAGTAAGGACGATATGGAACCCAAAGAACTACTACGTCAAGACATGGAGAGCACAAAGATTATGGGATACTGCAAGCAGATGGGGCAGAGGATGCTGTCCTGAGCTACAGAAGGAATGGTCTGGTGGTTAAGATGCACGCAAGTCAAAAGTATTAGAGCTGCCCACAGTTGGAAATGGTGATCTTTTTGCTGGTCTTGCCATTCACTGACCCAAAGCTCTCCATGGCTTCCACAATGCTCATGCCTTCAACATGTGGTCTTCCCAAAGACTACGTGTTTGCCATCCAACCACTCAGTCTTGGCAGTGCAGATGAAAAACTTGGAACCGTTTGTGTTTGGTCCAGCATTTTCCATGGACAAGATACCAGGACCTGTATGCTTCAGGATGAAGTTCTCATCTTCGAATTTGTCCCCATAGATCGACTTGCCGCCAGTGCCATTATGGCGTGTGAAGTCACCACTCTGACACGTGAATCCTGGAATAATTCTGTGAAAGGAGGAATCCTTATAACCAAATCCTTTCTCTCCAGTGCTCAGAGCACGAAAGTTTTCTGCTGTCTTTGGAGCTTCGTTTGCAAACAGCTCGAAGGAGACGCGACCCAAAGGCTTGCCATCGACTGCGATGTCGAAGAACACGGTGGGGTTGACTATGGCTGACAGCAAGTGGCTACGTCTGGAGAGTTGAAACAGGTTTTTAATTCTTGGAATTAGATGCTAGATGACTCAGTGGTTAAGAGCACTGGCTGCTCTCGCAGCGAATCCAGGTTTGATTCCAGCACTGACATGCCAATTAACAACCATCTGTAACTCCAGTTTCACGGGATCTGGACACTGTCTTCTGACCTCTGAAGGCACAGCACAACATGGTGTACTTACACACATGCAGGCAAGACCCTCCTACACATAAAATAAAAATAATAAATACAATAATTTTTAATAGACTTAGAATTAGTTCCCAATACTCAAAATATCCCTTCTCTTGATGCCAGAGGTTTGTTTTTGTAGAATATCTGTTTGCCAGCTAACTAGACTCTATGCATTTATATATCATATAGACTGCCTATGAAAAAAATGTATATCATTTTTGAACACTTCAAAGTGCAATGGATGTCTTCATAATGTAAATCTATCTTAAGATTTTATTTTTATTTTTAATTCTGTGTGTGTGTGTGTGTGTGTGTGTGTGTGTATAGAAGGGTATGTGCATGTGAGTGCAGGTGTCCTAAGAGACCAGAGAAGAGTGTTAAATCCCCTGGAGCTGGAGTTGCAGGCAGTTGTGAGCCACTGGACATGGTGCTGAAGCAAACTGTACTCAGGTCTTCTGCAAGAGCTATATGTACTCTTAACTGCTGAGG